GCTTCTGGGAAAGATTCTCCTGCTTCTATGAGAAATACACTGGAAGAGGCCATCTCTTCTCCTGTTGGACGTTGTCATAGAATTTGCCAACCGCTGCCTTATAGCCTGGAGGACAAGTAGTCCCTGGGTAATACTGAGGCACCCGCGGGGAAGATGCAAAGTGGGAAAAGCTTGACTCTCGATGACGTCATTGCACCGCTACACTAACCAACCCTGGGGCTTCCCTGGCTTTGTTGTTGCTCTTGTTTTATTTATTTATTTTTAAAGATCTATGTATTTATTTATTTGAAAGGCAGAGTTACAGAGAGAGATATCTTCCATCCACTGGGTCACTACCCAGATGGCCACAACGGCCAGCACTAGGCCAGGCCAAAGCCAGAAGCCAGGAACTTCTTCCGCGTCTCCCATATGGATGCAGGGGCCCAAGCACTTGGGACCCATCTTCCACTGCTTTCCCAGGTGCATTAGCAGGGAGCTGGATTGGAAATGGAGCAGCGGGGACTTACAAAGATATAGTTTAGTCTCGTTGTAGGATAGGATTGTATTAAAATTTATATCCTAGGAGCGATTCTAAATGATGTCCTAGGGATTTCTCTCATTCAAATGATAATGGAAGTTACTATCAAAAGTGAAGTCTCCAGTGTATTTTCATACTGCTCTCTGTAAATGAATTAGTAATAGAGATACAGGTTTTATCAAAAGCTCCAAGGAACAAGCTCCCATACACATCCCTCCTACATGTAAAATGTCATGTTGTGACATGTACATTTACGTGAATGCAAAATGCATGTAAATGGAAATGTCACCCAGAGATAAGGAAATACTTTTTAGAATTAAAAAAGGCATACTGCAGCCCACAGAGCCCGGCATTCTGTTTTGGTTTCACGACTTCGGAATCGTGCAGACCTTAAGGCCGTAGCTCCGTGTGCGAGGCGAGACTGCCGCATGTCGTCGGTGGCTGCGAGCCCCTGGCTGCCTTTGTTAAGGGGGTGGCTCTCGTGCCCGAAAACTTTCCACTCACGATGAGGACGCAAAAGGGGGAAAGGCACAGTTAAACACCAGCCAAGTCTTCCATGGTGAGTTTATTTTCCATACTGTGTAGCCTAGGTAACAGGATCCTCCTCCAAAGATAGGGGCACGAAGAGCACAAGGGAGGGAATTACAGGCCGGTTCCAAGGACCACTGGACAGCGCGGCGCATAAACACGACTCCCCCCACGAAAGCGTCCTCCCTGGGGGTGGGCACAGCACACGGACGGAGGTCGCTGGCTCACTGAAAGAACTGGGACTTGTCCACAGAAAGGACTGTGGGGAGGGCGGGGGAGGGATCACTCCTCAAACACGGGGTGATTTACCTCTACCACTGGCCGTGTGACAGACTCGTTCCCCCAAGGCCCTGCGCTGGGGTTTTTCCACCCACAGCAACTTGGTTGTTTGCACATGACAACGGCAGCATTTGTGGGTGACAGGCTCCCCGGGCCTGGCCCTCGCAGCTAGCGGGGAACACAAACAACGCCGGGCAGGACACCGGTGCCCATTCAGTAGCCTTTGCCCCTGACCTGCCTGCAGGGGCCGTCCTGAGGGCTTGCTGTGGCTCTGCCTTGGAGTCCCACTGCTGCTGTTGCTTCCATCTCCAATCTTAGGAAGCCACTGAAGGCGACAGAGACACACCTGGTGGCCAGCCGCCTGGCGCCTGTGGCTGAGGCTGGCGCTGTTTTACACCCAGCCTCCATTTCCCAAGTGCAGGAAGAAGAGGCCACAGCTGTGTAGGGAAGTGACAAAACACTGGGCTTCAGCTCTGTGGCTCAGCTTTAGCACCTCCTCGTTATGTAACCCCCAGGAACGTCTTTGAGCATTGTTTTTCCTGTATCTGATAGGGGAATAACAACAAATACTTGTTTCATTACTTCATTCATTCATTTGTTCAGCAGGTTTGAGGGTCTCCCACGCATCAGGCAGAATCCTAGATCAGTGTCCACAGAGGGGAGTGATGAGCACAGAGCTGGTGGCCCATTGTGAGGAGTAACAGACCCAAAGCACCCAGGACCATGCCTGACTTTTACCAGGCATTCAGTCAATGTTTTGAGTTGATCATAAACTATCAACGTTCAGCAACAGTTTGAGACATGGGAAAGCCTTTTTCATTGACCTGCTCCTACCTCAGTGCTCTTGCACATGATGCCGTCTCTGGCTTGTTCTTTCCCTCACTGTTGATATGGCTTCCAATCTCACGTCATTCAGAGCTCAATTCATATGTTACCTCCTCAGAGAGGCCATTCCTAACCACCTAGTAAAATAGCCTTGCTGCTCTATGATGCTGTGTCCTCTTTGATATAGCAATGGCCAATGAGCGTGTGAAAAGATGCCCACCGTCGCAGTCATCGGGGAAACTTTTTTTTTTAAGATTTATTTTATTTATTTGAAAGACAGAACTACAGAGAGTCAGAGGCAGAGAGAGAGAGAGAGAGAGAGGTGTATTCCATCCACTGGTTCACTCCCTAAATGACTGCAATGTCCAGAGCTGAGCTGATCCAAAGCCAGGAGCCAGGAGCTTCTTCCGGGTCTCCCACACAGGTGCAGGGGCCCAACGACTTGGGCCATCTTCTGCTGCTTTCCCAGGCCATAGCAGAGAGCTGGATCGGAGGTAAAGCAGCTGGGACTCGAACCAACGCCCATATGGGATGCCAGCACTGCAGGCCAGGGCTTTAACGTGCTGCACCACAGTGCCGGCCCCAGTCAGGGAAACTTTAAAGATGGATACTGCTAAGTGTTGGCAGGGATGTGGAGCAACTGGGATTCTCGTACACGGCATGCAAAATGGCACAGCAGCTTTGGACGATGCTTTGGCAGTTTCTCCATTCAAACTGCACACTTACCGTGCAGTTCAGCAACCCTGCTCCTAGGTATTAACCTCATAGCATTGAAACCATAGATATCCCTAGAAGGACGTGGTGGGAGTTCATAGCAGCATCATTCATAATAGCCTAAAACTGGACACAATGCAAATGTCCATCAGCTGAGGACTAGATAGACAGCATGTGATATAGCCACTCAGGGAATACTACTAGCAATAAAAAGGAATGGACAACTGATACACACACCGTCAGACACCCTGAAATCACATGCACGTTTCAGAGCAGGAAACCCGAGGGGTGGTGTTCTGGGAGCAGGAGTGGAAAGAGTGGCTTCACCACAAATGGGCACAAGAGAACTTCTTAGGGTAATGAAAATCTCTGGGTGGTGGTCACACAGCTGTACCCAGTTGCTAACAGTCTCCGAACTGCATACTTAAGAAGGTGAATTTTATCCTGTACAAATTATACCCCAGTAAAGCCGCTACAAAAATTTTAAATACGTAGGTCTATATGCCCAGAAAGTGACTCTATTCTTCTAATCTCTTGGGTGAGACTTGGGTGCTTTCCATTTTGCTAGTCTTTGCTTATCTAAATTTTGTAAACTTTCCACGATGATCGTGTAGTGCTTTCGTAAGGGGGGTGGGAACCAACAATCAACAAGAAGTCTAGTATTGATTCAACATTGTGTGCTTGTAAGGAAGCCCATTTGGGTCCCCTCCTTCTCATCTGTCTTTGCTCGGTGGCACTTCGGAGAGGTGAGCTGAGGGAACCACGCAGACAGGCACGGAGCTCAATAGCCACGCTGTGTGCATTGGCCTTGGGTTTGGCTCTGACCTTCAGTCCTGCATGAATGCACAGTAGATCAGCGATAGGGGGGCTCACGTCCTCCTTGGTCACTCCGCTCTCCATTCCAACCCCAAGCAACTCCAGCATCTTCCCAGCTCCAAGAGAAAGTCCTGGGCACAGGGCTGGGCAGACTGTGGTCTGCAGGGGCCAGGCCGGGCACCCGCCTCCAGTTCACATTGGTCTGCTGGGAGCCGCGTGTTCTTGGTGAAGTCAAGAGGCCATTCATCCATGGCGCCGGCAGCGATGGCTGCTCACGTTGCACCCTACCCTGCAGGGCATGAGTCCCTCCAAGAGCCCCTCCGGGGCACAGGCGCCCGTTGTCAGCAGGCCTCTGGCCCTTTTCCCCATCATGCATCCAGTCCCTCTCCGAACTTTCCGCCTGCGAGAGGGCAGTCACCTTAGGAGACCTGACCGACGCCCTAGGCAGAGGATGGCACATCGGGAGAAGTCCACGTGGCTTGTGGATGCCTCGGTGGCTCACAGGAATCGGTGAGGATAATAAAACCACAATTATAAAACCAGCTGTCCCCCTGTGGGGGACAGTGTTCCAGCCACTCTAGAGAGGAAGGGAAGCCCAGCAGAGGCCCAGAGCAGGTGGGATGGGCGCAGAGCTGTGAGACAAATACAGCTGTCCTCCGAGTGGCTGCTTTGTCACCCAAAATGCAAGGGTGGGAAGGATCCCAGGTCCCCAGCCTGGGGTCCGTGTCCTCAGGAGTCACACGGGGACTACTTCAGGAGCCCTACCAGCTCCACAGATTGCTCACAAGAGCTACAAAGTGGAAACAATGCCCAATGTCCATTGACAGATGAACGCCTAAACACACTGCAGAGCGTACACACAGTGGAATAGTACACAGCCTTCCAGGGAGGGAATTCAGACCCACGCTGCAACACGGATGAACCACGTGAACAAAACCGGCCCCACAGGGTAAATACTGTATGACTCCACTCGTGCGAGGTGCCTGCAGCTGTCACACTCAGGGACAGAAGGCAGAATGCGGGTTGCCAGGGGCAGGGAGGAAGGGGATCACGGGAGCTCTTATTCAACAGGCTCAGAGCTGCAGTTTGAGAGGGTAAGGTTGTGGAGATGGACGGTGGTGACGCTTTCACAGCAACGTGAAAGTCCTTAGTGCCACTACACTGTGCTGTGCTTAAAAATAGCTGGAGTAGTACAGTTTACATTGTATAATCTTGCTACATACACAAAGAAACAATCAAGGCCATGTGATTTCATGAAAGCATCAATCATGCCTGTTATCATTCAGATCAAGTTTCTAAACCAGCAGGGAGAGCCTGTGACTTTTTTTTTTTTAACGATCTATTTATTTATTCGAAAGTCAGAGTTACACAGGGAGAGGAAGAGACAGCAGGTAGAGCTGCTGCCTGCAATGCCAGCATCCTAAATGGGTACTGGTTCGTGTCCCGGCAGCTCCACTTCCAATCCAGCTCCCTGCGAATGGCCTGGGAAAAGCAGTGGAAGATGGCCCAAGTGCTTTTGCCTCTGCCACCCACATGGGAGACCTGGAGGAAGCTCCTGGCTCCTGGCTTTGGCCTGACCTAACCCTGGTCATTGTGGCCATCTGGGGAGTGAACCAGTGGATGGAAGATCTCTGTCTCTCTCTCCCTCTCTCTCTGACTTTCAAATAAATAAATAAATAAATATTTAAACACACAAAATAACACCACAGTGAATGGTGATCTAGGTAGGATTTTTTTGGCAGTCACACCTATCACACATGGTATCTTAAGGGGAAAAAGGGAGCCCCAATGGGAAGGTTGGTGGGGTTGAGTGCCTTGGCATCCCTCCCTCTCCCTCAGGAGCTATGATTTTGTGAGGGGGGAGGCCAGGCTACAAGAGAGACACACAGCCAGACAGGAGAAAACAGACCATGTCTCCAGCAGATCCCATCCGGCCACAGGCCAGACCTGTGGGGTGAGAGAGAGTCCTTTCGCTGGCCTGTTCTTAGGGTGAGGAATCAGAATTCTTCAAACAGCTGGGAGCTGTCGCCGCCTGTGTGGCACAGGACACCACAGAGCACCATCTGAGACTCATCCAGACTCCCAGCATGACACAGGGCCACGGCAGAGCTGGGCAGGGCACTCGGCACACGGGAACAGCCATCACACACAGAACAGCGCAAGCCAGGAACTACAAGAGTACACACAACAGACTCCAATTTCCCAGCCCAAGAACTCAGGCTCCGAGACTCACGTTCGGTGAGTGTTCTGGTTCACCCTTGGGCAGAAAACCTTCCAGTTCTCCTCCTTGCCTTGCCCCTCCCCCCATCCTAGAAAGGCTGGGTGTGCTGTGGGCGGAGCAATCACAAGAGGAATTCTCACCCAAAACCTGTCCCCCGTGACCCTGTGGCTTTGTGAAAAGGCAATCAATCACAGCATCTCCATCATCATCTGTGTGAAGCAGATCAGACGGCATCGAGGGCCACGTTTGCACATGTGTAACTGCTTAGGAATCTGCTTCTGCTAAGACACCCAGGACTTAGAGTAAACAGGGTTATGTCATTATGTGTGGATTAAGGAAGCAAGCAGAGCCCCAGAGCCCTGCAGATGTTTGGGGCTGTGTGAGGATGGTCCAGGGCAGTCCCGTCTCCTGGAGAGGAGCCTCATTTCCAGACAGCTGGGAGAAGCAGCAAGGGGTCTCACCGCTTTGTAAGGTGTGTGAGTCACCCAGGCTGCGGGGTGGGGTGGGTTAGAGTTCCCAAGGAGCCAGCCCAGCCACAGCTGCAGCTGGCCAACTTCTCCCTCGCAGTCTTGGGGCATCCACGGGGGTGGGAAGTGATACCGGGTATAGGACACCTGCAATGTGGCCCTGCCTGGGCTGGGGCGGCAGCTGTGGGAGAGAATCCCCTTCTCCCTCCACTAGGCTCAGACCCAGAGTCCCTGTGCCTGAAGCAGCTCCCCGAGGGCTCGTTCTGAGGTTGCTCAGTTGTGGTATCCTGAAAGACAATGGCCCTGCACACTTCTTGAAACAAACAAGATACATCGGAGCTAGCAAGAGGGGTGTACCATGTCCTCCCAGGCTCAGGGTCAAGGACGGTGGCTTCACTGACAGAACATAAGGGACCACAGGACAAGGACCCATGGATCGCAGGACAGGCTGGCTTGGCTGTCTAGAGCGGCTCATTAGCATTTATCCATCCCACTGGGCTCCACCTTGGTGGGCCCTTTTGGAGATGGCAGAAATCATGCAAGCATAGGTGTGGCAGGCAGACAGGCCTGTAGGAGATTTGCAGCTGAGAAGCCACAATGCTGAGAGGCTGTGGAGGCTCCCAGGGGGAGGGCGGTTCAGGGAGCACGGGTTCCTTCCCCTGCCCCTGACTCGCCTCCCTCTGAGGGTGAGACATCAGCAAAGGCAGCACCAGCAGCTGCCCATGCCCCGTGGTATCCTCTCTCCTAATGCCCCACCTGGCTGCTAGCAGTGATCACCCTTCCAGGCGGGGCCGCCCTCCTTGGCCACCTCAGGTGTCCCAGGCGGGTATGGTGAGGGGCAGGTGGGAGCAGCCGGGCCCCTCCCCGGGCAGGTCCTGGTGGGCCACCCGCCCATGGCGCAGTGGCAGGCGGCCAGGCCTCACGGCCCCGCTGCTGGCTCCGGACTCAGAGGGCAGCCCGGAGTCGCTGGGCTGCACCTCCATGAAGACCCGCTTGCGCAGGAGCCCACCGGGCCTTTCCGAGTAGGCCTCCTTAGGGCCGCCCCACTGCGGCGGGCAGAGGCGGGCGCGGAAGGCGGCCTGGAAGCCGCGGCGGAAGTTCTCGTTGAAGTAGCCGTAGATGATGGGATTGGCGCTGCTGTTGAAGAAGGCCAGCCAGTGGGCGAAGGGGAAGGCGTAGACGGAGACCAGGTGCAGCTGCGGCTCGCTGAGCTGCCCGTAGTCGATAAGCAGCAGCAGCGCCCAGAGCGGCAGCCAGGACAGCGTGAAGAAGAGCGCCACCATGACCAGCATGTGCACCACGCGCGCCCTGCGCCGCGCTGCGCGCCCGCCCTCGGCCACCGCCTCTCCGCCCGGGCGCGCCGGGCCGGCCGCCTGGCACAGCTTGCGGGCGATGCGCGCGTACATGACCACGATGAGCGCCAGCGGCGCCAGGTAGATGTGGGAGAAGAGCACGGCAGTGTAGACTTTGCGCATGCCCTTCTCGGGCCAGGCCTCCCAGCACGAGTAGAGCGGGTAGGAGCGGTTGCGGGCGTCTACCATGAAGTGGTGCTCCTCGCGCGTCACGGTCAGGGTCACGGCCGACGGGCACATGATGAGCAGCGCCAGCGCCCAGATGACCGCGATGGTGACCAGCGCCTTCCGCAGGGTCAGCTTCTCGCGAAAAGGATGCACGATGCAGCGGAACCTGTGGCCAGCAAGGGGGTGAAAAGGAGAGAGGCCAAGGTCTGGGCAGGTCCTGGGGCCTGGAGAGGAGCGGAGCTCGCTTTGCTGGGGGCTGCGGGATGCGGGCTCTGAACATCCACCAGCGTACCAAAGGCTGAGTCCAGGACCAGCTCCCAAAGTTAGATCCGGGAAGTGTGCAAGCGCGTTAGTTTCTCACCCAGGCTGGAAATCTGCTCATCACACCACTCAGGGAAGCAGGGTGACAACAGGACTTACAGGATCAAGGGAGCAGGAACCCACAGCCTGCGTGGGAAGGATAAATCCTGCCTGTGCGCTTTGCGGGATGCCCCATTAGCAGAGCAGGCTGCCTGCGTGCCCAGGGGCCTCAATGAATACAAATGTCAGCTGTTCACAGATCCTGCTAGGAAACCCTGGGAGGTCAGGCGTGGAGCCTTGGGGACAAGCTGCCCCCATGTCGTCTTGGCCAGCCTCCCTGTGTCATCCTGGCCAGTCCCCCTCGCCCTAGTGGGACAAGTCTGCACCTTTTAAGTCCTCATCAGGACATCTCCATGGCAATTATTATTACAGTCTCAATCTGCAGAGGCAGAAACTGGGCCCCAGAGGTGTTATGGTCAAGGTCACACAGCTGGCGAGTGGCAAGGACCACTGCCACGGAACCCAGGAGCTGTCAACCCTCGCCATGCAATGGGATCTCCTAAAGCCTTTTTTTAAAAAATGTAAGCCGGCACCGCGGCTTACTAGGCTAATCCTCCGCCTTGCGGCGCAGGCACACCGGGTTCTAGTCCCGGTTGCTCCTCTTCCAGGCCAGCTCTCTGCTGTGGCCTGGGAAGGCAGTGGAGGATGGCCCAAGTGCTTGGGCCCTGCACCCCATGGGATACCAGGAAAAGCACCTGGCTCCTGCCATCGGATCAGCGCGGTGCGCCTGCCACGGCGGCCATTGAAGGGTGAACCAACGGCAAAAGGAAGACCTTTCTCTCTCTCTCTCTCACTGTCCACTCTGCCTGTCAAAAAAAAAAAAATATATATATATATATATATATATATATATAAATGCCTCTGTCTGTCTCTCCTGTCCAAAGATTCCAATCGAACAAGTCTGGGAGGAGGTTTCAGCACTGAGTTTTCTAGGAGCTCCTGGGGAGAAGCAAGTGCAGAGCTGGGGTCAGGAACTGCTGCTACAGATGGAGGAGCAGGCTGCACGCGCCTGCAGTGTGGCTCCAGGAAAGGCTCTCTGAAAGCGGGCGCAGTGCCTTCGCATCGCCGTAGTCCGCCAGCGGGCTGAGATAAATGCATGAGCGGACCACCAGAAAGGCAAATGGCTGCTCATCTGTTAAGTGAGGCCGATGTGACCCGGGGAGAGGGGGTGCTCACTGCACCTCGTGAGGCACTGTGAGTGCTTCCTGGTGGGAAGAAAGAGGGGCCTCCATTGCATGCCCTGCACGGTTCCCAGGAAATTGAACCCTGAGGACTGTTCTGGCCGGCTCACCTGTTTGATGGAAGGATACAGGGGCACATGGCTCTTCAGGGGCAGAACACAGATCCAGAGCCAGCTCCAGCTAAACACCTCTTACGTGTGGGTAAACAGTGTCCCACCCAGCCTTGCCCAGCTGGACGGCACCTGTTATTTCTCCCATGGCCTGACTCAGGCCTTGCCATCTCCACCTGTCTGGCTTTGACCTGCTGGCTTCATCACAACATCACACACGGGAGAAATCTCTAAGGAACAAAGAATTCTTGAAGCATGGTATGTCTCCTAGTGCAGGAGAATCCTGGGGTGGTCCAGGAAGGCCTCCTGGAGAGACGGGACTTGAAGATGTGACGCCCTGGGAGAGGTCGCACACTCTGGAGTCATCCAGCAGCCACAGCCAGACAAAGGCTGCCGGAGGGGAAGGACGCCCCCAGGCACCCAGCTGTTGCCAGCCTGGTGGAGTGAGGACCCAGTCCCATCACTCAGGCCTTCCACTTCGGTGAGTTACACAAGAACGGGTTGTGGGGGCAGAGGTGGAGAGAGGAGTGGGGCTGGGGAGAGGGCAGGGAGGAGGGTAAGGTTGTTTGAAAGAAACAAAAAAATACTGACAGCCGACATCTGGGCTCTGTGCTGGGAAATGGGCTTCAGCTGCCCAAGCGGAAGCTCTTGGAAGCCTCCCAGGCACCCAGAGGGCACAGCCACGGTGTAGGTACGTGACTCACCAACATCACACAGCGGGCAGTGATGGGAGCAAAACCCACCCCCGATTTACTTTCCTGCCTCCTGTCCCCTGGGGGAGGCACCCGGAGACAGCACCCACAACTCCTGCAGGTGTGGCGGGGGGAGGGGGATGTATGGCCCAGTTCAAGACTGAAGACTCTGGGCCCAGGGCTTGTCCAAAGCCTCCTGGTTCCCGGGCCCCATTCCATCCCTCAGGCCACACGAATAGACCCACCCTGAACAGAGAATCCCCCAGACTCTGAGGTTGGAGATGAGGTGGAGATGGCCGGTGATGAAGGCCTGGACTCCCCGGGACCAGCTCCGGGTAGTGCGAAGGAGCAGGGCGAGATCCTTCCTCCCCAGCCACACCGAGGCCCAGGCTGCAAGCTGGCTCCCGAGGCTCAGTGTGTGTGGGTGGCAGGATTCCTGCCGCTCAGGAACTAGACTGCCCGCAAGCCCCTCGCAGGGCCCAGGAATCCCCGTAACCCTTCTCAGGAGTTGCCTCCAGGCCCTCGAGAAAGAGGTAGTGACATCCTCAGCTGGCCCTCGGCTCTAGAGGCAGCTGGCCCCCCACCCTTCCCCCTGACCATGCAGCAGCCCCAGCCTTCCGGCCAGCCCAGCATCGTGCCGGGCTCGGTCCGCCCAGGGACTCTCCAGCCGGGAAGATGCTCACCTCTCCACAGCGATGGCCACCAGCGTGAACACGGAAGCTGACACGGACATGCCCTGCACCAAGCCGCTCATCTTGCACGTGGCATTGTCGAAGGGCCACCCTGCAATGACAGAGCCCCCCCAGCCCCCCACCCCCGCCAGGAGTGAGCCACACCCACCCACAAAGAGCCAGAGACAGCAGGCCATGCAGTCCAGGTCCCCTGGGGAGTTCCCATCTTCCCTCCAAGTCCCACTAGGCAGCCATGGGGCCTTTGCTTGCATACTTCTAGGAAGGGGGAGCTGCCCAGCCCACACCAACCCGGACTGTGCAAGAGATTTCCTTTATATTGACCAACGTGTTCTCTCCATGAGCTATAGACCATGCAGCCCACCCTGCTTCCTGCTCCCATAGCCCTGCTGCAGGTTACGGGCCCGCGGTCCTCCACCCTGGCTGCTGCTTCCTGGGATCTCCTGCAGAGCCTGGACGTGCACCAGCGCCCGGGCCCACACCATGCCAGCCACCATCAGGATCGCTGGGGGTGGACCCAGACATCACTAGGCTTAAACCTCCCCAGGGGATTTGCGTGGCAGCCCAAGTGAGAGCCAGCAGGACAAATCGACGGTGACTGCAGGACTAGCAGGTATAAGCTGCTCCAGCCTGGTGTCAGCGCTCTGATCCCCGCGCTTGTGCTCTGTCGGGAGATGTGGGCCCCACCTGCCCGCAGGTGTGGGCTCCTGAGGCTACGTTTGGGTGACTGCCTGGTGTCTCCACCCCGCTAGGCAGGGCCCCCTGCCTCTCGTCAGCCGTGCCTGGGTCGGGCGTCTTCTGCTGAGACCAGGCTCCTGCTTTTGCCACCAGCCTTCTCCCACACTGACTTCTGCCTGCACACTCACCAGGTACCGGGCGCTGTCCCATTCAGTCCTCGCCTCAACCCTGTCATTATCATCCCCCTTTCACAGATGTGAAAACTGAGGGTGGGAGGGATTCACTGATAGTCTCTGTCCCCCTAAGTCACTACATGTGAGTGCAGAAAGTCAGGTCTGGGTGCTTGGGTGGGGGTGGGGGAGCCATGGAATGCCTACACACTGCTACAGACAGCTGCCTGGTTCCATTTTGGAAATCTGTGTGCGGTGTGTGCAAGCCTTCCTCCCAGGGACATTTCCCCTGCGGCTCAGCCCACTAGGGTGCTCACTGCAATGGTATTTGTAGTGATGGGGAATGGGAGGCTCACAAAACCAAACAGGCCTGCATGGCAGCACTTGCCAGTTTCTCTGCTGTAAATCTCCTTATGTGACACAGCTCCAACTCCCAACATGATTATCACGGTACACAGATAGTGGGAGAGAAATGCACACAATTGGCTCTTGTGGACTGGCATAAGCTGGCTCTGCCACGGGGTAGAGGCCCCCTGGAGTGCTTCTCTGGAAGATTAGCGAGTAAAACGCAGTGGACACACACACACCATGCAGCACCAGGCAGCTATTAGATATGCAGATGAGATGTCCCCAGAGTAACACGGATAGAAGTCTCAGCGAAAGAAAGAAGTAAAATGAGGTCCTTAACACAAAACATCCATTTAAAGTAACAACGTAGGCCCAAGAATCACCAGGAAGAGCCTGACACAGAGAAAGTATAAGGGGGCACCAGCTCTCCCAGACATTAAAACACACTGATGGACCTCTATGAATTAACACGTGTGCAGCCGGTGCAGGGAAAGACACAGAGAGCGGGCAGAAGGGTGGGAAGCCCAGCAGGAGACAAGTGCAGCAGAAATGAGCTCACAAGGGCACCACCTGACACCACTGGGGCCAAGACCCATTCTTGTCAAATTTCTATTTATTTATTTTTATTTATTTATTTTCTTCTTATTTGAAAAGCGGACGGAAAGAAGGAGATCTTCCATCTGCTGGTTTACTCCCCAGATATCTGCAACAGCTGAGCTGGGCCAGGCCAAAGCCAGGAGCCTGGAACTCCATCCAAGTCTCCCATGTGGGTGTCAGGGACCCAAGTACCTTAGCCGCCATCTGCTGCCTCCCAGAGTGCATTAGCAGAAAGCTGATTGAAATGGAAGAGCTGGAACTCCAACCAGACAATCTGATAGGGGATGCGGATATCCCGAGTGGTAGTGTGGAGTCCACTGTGCTAACCTGGTCCCCAGATTTTACTGTAGCGGCACAGAGACAGGGGCAGGCAGGGGGTTCCACTGCCCACGCTCACCTGTGATGAGGTTGTCTACGAGGGTGGTGGGCATGCAGAAGATGCCCACCAGCAGGTCGCTGACGGCCAGGTTGAGGATGAACATGTTGGTGACGGTGCGCATGTGCCGGTTCCTGAGCACGGTGAAGCAGACCAGCGCATTGCCCACCATGCACAGGAGGAAGATGAGCACGTAGGCCACGATGAACATGGCCGCCACTGGCGAGGAGTGCTGGTAGTAAGAGGAGAAGGTGAGGTTCGCAGGCAGGCCGGTCTCTGTGGTACTCCCATTTGGATTTGCGACCCAGCTGCCGTTGGGAGGCTGGGAGGGCTTCCCTAGGGCCAAAGCAGCACAAGGTCAGGACCCCAGGCAGAGCAGAGACATCTGACTTCTCCCCACTCCCGAGATCCTTCTGTGTGCAAACCCCGAGCACATCCCAGTGCCCAGTCATGTGCCCGGCTCATTGCAGCCAGATCCACCGATCCAAGACTGTCAGCCCCGACTACTCAGACCCCCACCTCACACCCCATCTTGCCCATGACTCATTTCTCATGCGGGTTGACTTTTATAAATTTATTTATGGGGGCCAGTATTGTGGCATGGCAGGTTAAGGCACCACCCGCAATGCCAGCATCCAATATCAGAGTGCCAGTTTGAGTCCTGACTGCTCCACTTCCGATCCAGCTCCCTGCTACTGTGCCTGGAAAATCAGCAGGAGATGATCCAAGTGCTTGGGCCCCAGCTACGCACTAGGGAGACCCAAGATGGAGCTTTGGGATTTTGGCTTTGGCACTGTTGCAGTCGTTTTGGGGAGTGAACCAGTATGGAAGATTCTCTCTCTCTCTTTCTCTCTCTCTCTTTCTCTCTCTCTCTCTCTCCCTCCCTCTCTATAACTCTACCTTTCAAACACATAAAACTTGTAAAACTTTAAAAAATATGTATTTGTTTTTTGAGCCAGAGATAGAGAGGACTCTCATCTGCTGAGACACTGTTCAAATGCCCACATCTGGGGCTGGGCCAGGTTGACGCCAGAAGCTAGGAATTCAGTCCAAGCCTCCCACATGCACAGCAAGGACCCAAGTACTGGAGCCATCGCTGCTGTCTTCCTGGGTACATATTAATAGAAGCTGGAGACGTGAACCCAGATACTCCGATATCAGACAGAGGGGCCCTGATAGGCAGTGCAGCTGCTGGGCCACACTCCCAGCCCATCATTAGCCAATGCTGGTTATTCTCCACTAACCCCCTCCCCACCCAGGATCCCTTCCTCTCGACTTACTCTGTGCCCAGAGCTAACCTCTGCTTCCCTTACCCTTGCACATTCAACCCACCAGAAGGACGTTCACAGCCAGGGCCCCTCCTACCCTGAGATCAGCGGCTCCACCTGCTTGGCATTTAACAAAGCCCTTCCTATCTGTCATTGTGTTGAGCCCTCTGAGTCACCCCATGATGTAAGCTGGTTAAGACTTAGCCCCATCTGAACTGGATCAGAACGGCTCCAGGACCTGCTCAGGGTCCCACGGAGTGGGAACCACTTCCGTGGACAACCTCATCACAGGTGAGCATGGTCAGCAGATGGCAGGCAGTGGGAACACCCTGTCTCTGTCTCTATGCCTCTATAATAAAATTGGCAGGGGGGCAGTTTAGCACAGTGGAGTCCAAGCTACCACTCGGGACATCTGCATCCCCTATCAGATTGCTTGGATGAAGTTCCAGCTGAGGGTCCCTGACGTGGGACCAGGCTTCGTGTGGATTCCCCCCGCCGTGCTTCCAAGGCACAGCCCAGCATCCAATCACAGCTCTGCGGTGACTCACAATGCTGCCTCACACTCTCCCCCTGCCTTCCCCTGGGACGGACTGCAGCCTGTTGTGGGGATGGAGCATCTCTGGGGAGTCCTTCTCTGTCACAATCAGAGCTCAGCCGGGGCCGCCAGGCCTGCTGGAGGCCCCTGGGAGGAGCAGGCCAATGAGCGGGCGCCGTGCGGGCCACAGGGAGCAGTGGGTGCAGTGGGGCAGGAACGCCGCTGCTGGAGGGGGAGAGGCTGGAAATTTCCAGTGCACGGTGACAGGAGCTGCTTGGCCCTCTCAGTGGTTTCCAACTGTCCTCAAATTTCTTTGGTAGAGAAGATGCCAAATGTGTGTGAGAGAGACGATTATAGTGGACCTGAATAAGAGCAGGAGGTTCAACGAGCCATTACAAGGGAGAATGGCACGAAGAAGTCCCATGTATGGATCATCTGCTTCAGCAAGGACCAGGTCAAGGTCAATCAGCTCTCACGCCTGCTCCCACCTCTTTCCGGGTTATTTTGCAGCAAATACCAGATGTTACTTCCTTCCATCCATAAATACTTTCATCTGTGTCTCCAAAACATAGGAACTCTTAAACTCCAAAAATAACAAATTAGGATCAGGTTATTATGTAACCTAACAAAATTTAAAAGTTGCATCATCATATTATCAAATGTCTAGCATGCAAAATGCTCTCATTGTTTCATAATTTTTAAATAGTAGATTTGTTTTGATTGAAGAACCAACAAGGTACCTATTACCCATTATTATATTACAAAACACCCCAAAACTTAGCAACGTGGCACTACAACTTGGCAGTCTGGGTGGTCGTCCTGCTCCTCTCTCGGTATCACTCACACACCTGCAGCTGTCTAATGGCTCTACTGGGGCTGGAGGGTTCAAGGTGACCTCTGCGCATGGCTGGTGGTTAGTGCTGGCTGTTGGCTGAGTGTCTCAGTTCCCTGCGTGGGGGCTGGACTGTGCTTCTTCAGAGTAGGGTGGTCTCATGGGCTTCCTAGGACCTAGGCTGTGGGATTAGCACATGGCTTCTGCGGTCTTCTGTTGGTCAAAGCAAGTCTCCAAGGGTAGCCGAAATTCAAACCAGTGGAGAGAGTGTTTCCGTCTCTTGACAGGAGAGAGCAGCAGTGCGGTGCCAAAGAGGTGTGGCCACGAGAGTGCGGTTCACGAAGGCCCATTATTGTAAAACCACCGCCATCCCCACGCTGTTCCCCCTCCCCCACCTCCAGCCTCTTCTCCCCTCTGCAATTTGTTTGTCACATCGATGGACCACTTCTCTGCAGAGTTGCCTGCAGCAAGAATCCTGCAGATTGCTCCCTCCTGATGTCCATTTCAGACATGCTGCGCGTGTCCCCTGGGTTTCCTGTGACTGGCAGTTAGATCAGTCGGAGCAGATTATGTCTGGCAGGCTCTTTGATGTGTGGATTTGATGCACTGTCAAGCTCTCCATCTCGTATTTTCAGCAGTCACTAATGATCCCTGCCTACACCGTGCCGTGCACTTCATAAACAGCTGACACTCTTACTGTGGTCCCTGAAGTGCCTCACTGGTTTCTGCTGACCCCCCCTCCCCGCCCCCGCCCAGCCCAGCCCAGCCCAGCCCAGGGCGCTCTTGCCTTTGCCTGCCATGCTCCGGCCACTTTGACATCCTCTTGGCTCCTTCACAGTCTTGCATTTTCCAGCTCCAGGGCCTTTGCTCTTCCTCTCCTTTATTTATTTATTTATTTATTGACAGGCAGAGTGGACAGTGAGAGAGAGAGAGACAGAGAGAAAGGTCCTCCTTTTGCCGTTGGTTCACCCTCCAATGGCCGCTGTGGCCGGCGCATTGCGCTGATCCGAAGCCAGGAGCCAGGTGCTTCTCCTGGTCTCCCATGAAGTGCAGGGCCCAAGCACTTGGGCCATCCTCCACTGCACTCCCAGGCCACAGCAGAGAGCTGGACTGGAAGAGGAGCAACTGGGACAGAATCTGGCGCCCCAACCGGGACTAGAACCCGGTGTGCCGGCACCGCAAGGTGGAGGATTAGCCTAGTGAGCCACGGCGCCGGCCATACTTTAGCCCTCAACTCAGATCCTGTCTTCCTAGAGACCCGGAACCTGACTACTCCGAAGCAGACGCACCCTGTGATCCGTCATGGTATCTTGTTTGCGTTCTTCAATCTGTCGGTATGTTCTCTGTTTTCAGGTTCATTGTCTCCCCCCCCCCATGCCTGAAAGCCCACTCCTGGACAGTAGGCCTCTTCCATGTCCTGTCAGCTGTGTCCCTGGCATCCTGGCACCGCCTGCCCATAGTAATTGGTTTAATTGACAACCCGTGGTCATGAAATGAATTACCACTGGAAGGAAGCAGACAGGACGGGAAGCTGGGTCCCCACTCCAGCTGACAGGGTCTTGTCTGAAGTAGGTAGGGCTGTGCCGCCAGGCCTTCTGCAAGCCCCCCACCCCCAAGAAAGAGCCCCGTGAAAGGTGCTGCTTATCCCACAGCCTGCTGGGAAACAAAGCTTACGGCTCACCCTGCTGAGTGTCAGAATCAACTCTGAATCACACGGCGGCTCTCCGTGGGTGTGGATGAGCACAGGAAAACGCCAGACCTGTGCATGCTGGACTTCGGTGTGTCTGCTTCCCCGCCTGCCCTCCCCCTGGCCTGCACATTTGGATTCCAAAGCCTTGCCCCTGGGGAGGGTCTGGGAGGGACGCTGCCCGCCTCTGGCACCCCAGGCAAGCCTGGAAATGCAGATGTAGGCTTAGCCCAACTTCCAGCCCAGCTCATCAACCCTTCCTCAAGGAGGAAAAACCTCTTTCCACTCCTGGTCATTCCTCCGGCTTAGGGGCGGGGTGGGGTGCAGGCGCCCCACCTGGGCTCCACATCGGCAGCCAGAGCCCTCATTACTGCCCTGGACGTGTCCTTCCTGGGATCTGCCTTATGGGGTACAGGCTGGGAAATTCTCATCCACTGCACCCAGTTAAGCCCTTCCCGTACTGACGGAGCTCCGCAGAGGTGTCAGGGCGCAGTGATGCCTGTAGCAGGGGGCACTCTGATGATCCACAGAGACCAGAGCCGGGGCCACTGAGAGCTGGGGCTGCAAAGAACAACGGTTTTCAAAGTGAGGGCCCCGGCTGCAGCATCCACTTTGCCTGCACCTGTGGGAAACAGAAATTCCTGGGTCTCATCACTGACCTAGGTAACCAGAAACCTTGCAGCCCAGACACAGCTATTACATCTACTTAAAGTTAAAAAAAAAAAAAAAAAAAAAAAAAAAAAGGTTGTGGAGCCAGTGCTCTGGCACAGCGGGTAAAGCTTCTGCCTATGATACCGGCATCCCATATAGGTGCCGGTTCCAGTCCCAGCGGCTCCACTCTGACCCAGCTCTCTGCTAATGCACCTGGGAAAGCAGCAGAAAACGACCCAAGTTCTTGGGCCCCTGCACCCATGTGGGAGACCCAGATGGAGCTCCTGGCTCCTAGTTGTAGTCTGGCCCAGCTTTAGCCATTGCAGCCATCTGGAGAGTAAAGTAGCAGATGGGGGAATCTCT